AAAAAGGCAGCGCCAGAGTTTAGAGCGGTCAACTGAGTCGGAAGCCGCTTTTAGGTCGGGGTCTGCAGATGAAATCAACAAAAACAGATTTTCACCTATGGTCTGCGGTCCCATCACATCAGTGAACACACTTATGGATTTTATCACCTCATAACCGTAGTTTGGAGTCGGGCCAATGCTGTCATCTCATTTCCGTTTGAATAATATAGCCTACTTTTACAGTGTCCGTCAAACTGAGCCCCTGCTTTTCAGTTATTGAACGCGGATTTTCCCAATGAATCGTCCGTCAGTGCTGACTGGAATTTTAGCTGTTCTCTGTTGTTTTGACCGCTCTCTGGCGTCTTCTGGAGATCAGTCATATGTGTTCTACAAGTGCGACAAGGACTGTGTAAATTCCATCTGTAACCGCACATCAGATGTGTCCAAAATTAATTGGACTGAATTTTTCCCAAGACGGTCATTTGTCGAAGAATCTATTACATGGAGCTGCAAACGAGAATGTAAATATCGTTGCATGTGGAAAACGGTAGAGGCCTTCTCGCGTGACAATTTGTCTATACCACAATTTTACGGAAAGGTTTGTATCGACTTGATTGTATTAAATTTTGGTTCCAGTGGCCTTTTATAAGACTATTCGGCATTCAAGAACCGGCTTCCTCAGGATTTTCCTTCCTTAACTTTTTAGCACAACTGATTGTATTTTCTCGCCTATTCATCGTGTTTTCCTTTCAATTGCCCATGTTTAAATATTGGTATATTCAGTACTTGGTAAGTGAATAAGTTTATTTCCTCCATTCCTTAAATTTTTGCTAGTTCTGTCTCACCTCGTGGCTTTTCTCGACGCTATTTCATGCGCATGATATGGCAATCACCGAAGTAAGCATACATGTCCTGAAATTTATTTTCCTTACATAGGCGCTGGACTACTTTGGAGCGTTGGCTTTCATTTTAGCATCCATCGTCACGATGCAAGCTCGCGTGTTTTTTAAATATCAGCTTCTGAGGCATGCCTGTACTGTGTTCTTAGTTGGATTTTTTGTCAACCACGTAAGGTACATGAGCTTCGTGAAGTTCGACTATGGATACAACATGATGGTCGCTGTTTTCTTTGGTGAGTTTGCTAGGACTGTTCAGGTTTGTGCTACTCCGGACACCTTACCAATTTTTCAACCACCGTCGTGACGGAGGCGTCGCACCTTGATCTTGTGTCATATTTTTTTAATACATTTTTGTATGAAGAACAGCAGACGGGGTGGTCCCATAGTCGTGAAGACCTGTTCAGTGATGGAAACCTACAACATAAGTCCTGTGACTTGGAGTGGTTAACCGCATAAGATCCGGCTATGGCTCTCCTTTTTCTGCTTTCTCCTGTCCTATCACATGCTCGCTGGCAGTTAGTCTACTGGAAGCGGTTTCGATCGAATACCACTACTGTCTTACGTTATACTTTTTCACTTTTACTTCCTTTGATTGAATACACGATGCAGTTTTCAGGAAGAGGAAAGTGGCCAATCAAAGGGCTGCCATACAACACCAATGGGAAAAGTCAGGCGGTGGTGGTGGGATTCTAACACTCGTCCTCCGGGGTGATAATTTAGTGACTTTACCACCGGGCCAGCACCGCCCTATACTAAGTATACTCAGTTGTCACGTTTCCTTAGGTTTGAAATGGGACTCATTGCGAATTAGGAAGCAGAGTTTTTTTAATTTTTTTAATTTCACACCTAAGTGCGATGAAAGCAGACGGGGCGAACCCCATAGTCACGAGGATCTGCTGTTCAGTGGTGGAAGGCGGTGACCAAAGCCCCGGTACTTAGAGTGGCGAACCCCATAAGGCCCCTAACTGATAATCTTGACGTTGAAATAGGTTTAGTTTGTAGGCCTCCATTTTTACTGTCATAATAAAAGCTTCGTGAGCCATTGCACGATATGCATGCGACAGAAACCGAGTGGCAACGCCATTGACTGATATTTATTGCTAGGCCGTTTATATCACGATTTAGACAATGCATCCTCTTCTCTCTTGAACCCCATCCTCTTCCTGATACGCTAGATTTTGACGCGTCTCTACTGTGGAAGAGGATAAGCACAGAATACTTGGTCTCTACTGTAACACTGCGTCCACTCCTGTTGTATGAGCCTTTTCTGAAGATGGGGAAACGCTTGATTACCTTTACGAAGAAGAAACGCCGCAGTAGACCAAGTTTTAGAGAATAGTATTTGCAGCTCTTTTGGAAATTAAACCACATCATGTTTGAATGGAACTGAAAAGGGACTTTCAAAGCCTGGTACTTTGAGCTGTCTTAGTAGTTGGATTACCTTAGGAGCTTCCTCCCCAGAGGGTAGGTTTTTTACGACAGACCATGAGACCTGCGTGTTCAACCTAGGTTAGTGGGTGCTGAGGGTCATTTAAATCGTACATTGGATCGTTCGATCCGACTTTCAAGACGGTTGCGTTAGTTTTCAATGGACAGATCGCTTACCCCGCAGACCATGCATGTCGTAGCTGAAAAACACTCCTCAATTTATTCCATAAGAAACATTGTGCATGTCTGTGAATTCCATGAGTAATAGTTTTGCTCGTTCGCGGCCATCTGAAATTTGTAATTCTAACTGTTTCCTGGTACATTTTAGGTCTCTTGAACGGTTTTGGTTGGCTGGTATGGTCCTGCTACTACTGTTCATTAGAGAATCAACCGTATTTGGTATACTGTCGTCAATCTGTATTTCTCCTTCTGATCACGATGGCTCTGGAGTTGCGTGATTTCCCGCCATTTATGTGGTCTTTCGATGCACATGCACTGTGGCATGCATCTTCCTTGTTCATTGTACTGCCTTGGTTCAGGTCAGTTTCTGCGCTGATTCAGTCACTATATTGTTCTGTTCCATCGTACTTATTTTGCCTACAATAAAGCCAGAAGTAACAGCTATACACAATCTGAACGACGGATAGCCTCAGCTCTTTTTATGCTTTTTATTACACACTTTAATGTGATGAACAGCAAACGAGGCAAACCCCATAGTCACGAGGATTTGCTGTTCATTGATGAAAATTGGTAACCGAAGCCCCGGAACTCGGATTGGCGTACCACATAAGGCCGCTTTGGGTTAGGTCTACTATTGATCCGGACTGCAACAAACCTGCCTATCACCAAAGTTGGATGGCGGTGGTGGGGCTCGAACCTCGGACGATAGTGTCTAAAGCACGCCAGTGATAGCGACCAAACCACTGCGCTACCACCACCCTTGCCCAATGGCCCCCAGTTAGACTGCTGTTAAAGCTGTCTGTTCGTGCGAGCATCGTGTATGTAGTCTATTATCCAAAGTAAGAAACTTTCAGGAGTAATGTTTATTTGCTACCGATAAGGAGATGAAATTAAAAATTTGGACGATACTTTTAGTATTTTTGCGTGCGAGTTCGTGTACGCACACGTTTAGTCTAACCCAGTGACGATCTGAGGCTTAAGTGCCCAGATATCATGGAGAATACATCATGTTCCGACTAAAAGTTGGTGCCCCAACGTGGGATAAAAGAACTTATCAGGATGTGTTCACTCTCATTCTTTATTTTACTTTTTCTCTAAATTTTCATTGCACACTGTTTTTCTTTTGATTTTTTTATTACATGAACCGAACCACCATGAAAGGAATGTGAGGAGCATTCACATTTATAGGCATGTTGCCGGTCCTGCATTTAAACAATGAAAGATTGTCGGTGGATGGGAGAATACAAACCTCAGGAGGACTTGCTGTTTGCACACGATGACCGGCAATTTATACCCCGGGGTTTAGAGTGGTAACCCACATCTGGCTTCAGTATCATAGGTGTAATATTTAGTCGGGTGATATCGAGGTTGGCTACTAACAAATTTGACAGGGGTTGAGCTTTGAATCCTGGGGCCCAAAGCACGCCAATAACAGCGACTCAAATAGCTTGCGCATACATATTGTACATAACCAACTGTCGTCTGCCTACCTACAATATTGCGTCTTGTTTGCTGGCGCGGTTACATTTCTAGAGAGAACCATGTGGTTGAGATGTAGACCAGGTATGACGAATTATAATTGTAATTTGGTAAAACAAATAACCTCCGTCTTCTGACCTGAGATCTGAAGTAGGAACTTGTGGGTTGGAAACACTGAAGGATATGGTAGTGAACCGATATCAGTGGAGTCGCCGCCATGATTTTTAATGGGTCAAAAAGACTTGTGTACCTAATTCAACTGTGTACTCTGTGTGTTGCTCATCGTGTTCCACTGTCTTCCCTCTCTTAAAATCCACTCTTTGTCCATCCTACACATTCCAAATTACTTGGCACACAATAGAAGCTTGACAGCAGGGGGCGATGTTCGTTTCACTTTACTACGCTATACGATGGTTGTTCTGTCTGATCGTTTTTTTACCCAAGCGTATAATTTTAACACCGTCATAAGGTATGCTAGGATATCATCCACTTCTTGAATGTTCTTGGTTGAACATGCACGTATAAATGCACACCGACTCATTTGTGCTGACCTCAAAGTTAGCGACTTTTTCGGAACATGTTTTGGAAGAATAATCGGTCTGATGAACTGATAAACTAGGATCTCCCGGGCGAACCGTAATAAGTGGCCTCCGTAAAATTCTTATAGCCGCACCTGAGTTACTTGAGTTCTATTTTTTCAGCAGTCCATGTGATTGCAGAAGAGTGCCGCTGATATGAATTTTGTACTTGTTGTTCTTAATGCGGGTGACCTTTCATTGGTGAAGAGCTCGCTGGCTTCTACATACATATCGGAAAATTCCCCAAGCCACATTTGGTTGAAAGGTTGTTGTCCAGCAGTTTAGGTCACCATCGTTGATGAACACCACTTCACAAGATTCGAGTTTTCATCCTCAACAGACAATCTACTCCGATGGTAGGCAAATTTACTATTTCCCGCCTCTGGACCACCTCTGCTCCGTGGCTGTCCCTCCCAATTCACCAGTACATATGCTGCTGCAAATCCCCGTGGTTATAGGCGTTATTCTCTCCGCTGTTCACCTGCCTCGGCCTGGGCAACCTGGTAGTATTCCGCCCACAAGCAAAATCTTTTTATAAAGATTATTGTACCGTGATTTGTTTGGCACACAGTCTGGCGTCAGACGTGTGTGAAATAAAGGAAGTAGATGTTCATCCTATTAAACGTATTTAATGATAAAGCACCAAACATAAGGTCATCATTTGGTAGGTTATTCTGTCCGAAATGTTTAGCATGCAGGAATATGTCCTATGTCCTTGTCACATCGGGTCTTTTGTGGTGTCTTAAATTCAATGCCAGCCTTGTCTGACGTTACCTGAACAAGTAAAATCTTGTTCATGAAATATTTTTGCCTCTATCATGGTGTTTCCTTGTGAGTCCAAATGTTTGCCGCTCTTTAACTTTCCGCTAATCATTCCACCTGATTTTCGGTTTAACTTATTTGCTTTCTGTTTCCGCCCCACAGATTTGTTGCCGCTGACTGTCAGTATCAGCTTGATCAAAAAGCAAAGTGAAATTGCTATCAACTAGTCATTCAGGTATCTTTGGTTGTCCAAACAGATCTGAGGTTACCATCGTTTCAAGTGCCCACCGATTTTCGACTACTTTTTCACCGCCTTTCACCATGTGATTTATTCTTGAATGCTATGATGTTGAGGTATCACTGCTTCATAGGTTTTTTATTGAATGTTATGAAGTCGCCGGTTGCTTTGTACTTTGAAGTACCTTGTATAACTAACCGTTTTTAATGAAAGCTATCACTAAAGCTTTTTTGTATGTGTTCGTCAAATTGGGAATAAGTACTGTGTAGATAAAGGCGTACTGACTGCAGCAGCACGCTATATAACTGCCAGTGTATTGCTCTGCCCTATTATTATGTATCGCTGGGTTCTGTTATCAAGTATCAACTGACAGCCGTTCGCTCGGACAACCGAATAGTTACAAGTACGACTCCTTTTTGAAAGTTTCAGCTCCTCTCTATTGAAACTAACAATACGGTACTGAGACACTTTCAGGGCTTTTCAGTGGTTGCGTGACACAGACTCTTGACAATAAGAATTCGTTCCGCTCCTGGCTCGTGAAATTCTCTATACGTAGCGAAGTTCGAACACCGTCAATTCCCCGCAGTTAATGTCTGTTTTGCCGGAAGTGAGGTTTCGTAAAGCTACGAAAATTCATTATAATATCTAAGATTTGTCAAATTCATTTTAAAAGCTTGAATATTCTCATGATAGCATTGAGAAAACGAGTCGGTGAGCGAACAATTGTCTTCGGATATTCCTTTCCTACACACACACACGCACTCACCCATTACTCCCTATCTCCGAATATTGACTTTAAAATGAGCCAATGGCTATGATTACGTAAGAATTTTTTCCACTATATGATATATAAGAGCATGACTAGGAATATCCGAAAATTCATTTTAACCTGTTTTTTGCCTTACGAACTAATTGTCGATTGAGGTAAGATTTACGTACCGTTTATATCCTCCTGTTATTGTGCCACTGAAAGCCAAGTAAAGGATTGTTTATTGTGCGCATGTATCTACCAAGTATACTACGAGCATGCGAGAGCTTTAAAACATACGGGAGTGCTGAATCGGTTTGAGAGACAAAAGTTGATTGACTATTTTTAATGAAAGCATGATTGGCATACGAATAGGAAACGC